CCCCCCTCGAATTTTTTCACTTTGATGTTCCTCTCCCTCTGTGAAGCCTGAAGTCAACTAAAGGGCTAATGATAAATATCATAAAGCCTGCCATTTGCTATAAATAAATAAATGATAGGCACATAACGTAACTCACTGGCAACCGCTTGAGGTAAATGAGTGATAATCTGGGAGACAGCGATCACACCGTTTTCCTCCAACGCCCGGTTTGCATTTGCATTGTCCATCAGCTGAACACCGACTCTCCCCACCCTCGACAGTTCCCATGGGATCACACGCGCAGGGGAGACAGACAGAAGGTTGGTGGGGATCGGGATAGTGGCCTGGCAAACACGTTTCACAGTGTTTTCCCATCGTGTTGTTTCCACAGCCAATACAAATACCACCGGAACCTGTCGTGCGATATTCGTTCTCATCAAATTCGCAGTGGTTCGCATTTCCGTTGCATTCACAAGCTAGCACAAAGCAAAAACAATTAGGTATGTTTACGTTCTGGAAAACAAATGCTGTAGATAAAATAAAGATTGAGAAAAAACGTTAAAATGTGTTGAGAGCAAAATACTTCGAAGATCGTGCGCCATATTCTTCGTTATGAGAATGCTATGGAACATCTCAGTCATCATTAATATTTGAAGTTTGAGCTTTCAATATAAAATGCTCAGAATTTGCAGACTTTGTATAGCTTAAGAGTACAAATATTCAATAGTGGAGTGTGCGATAGACTTACCTCCACGTGATGCACCCTGGGTAACGTATACTCATACGACAAAAAAGGTCTATTAACCGGCAGTTGACTTCTGACTTCAAACTACCATGACCCCATTGTATGTCATGTTCGACTACTTCCACAGTACTCACATCACCTTTTTTCTACATTTGTGTCTGTCTCTTTTACATCTTTGAAACACTCTTCTGTTCCCCCCCCCCATCTCTCTCGACTTTTTCTCACTTTGATGTTCCTCCTCCCCTCAATGTGTAGCCTGAAGCCAACTAAAAGGCTAATGATAACCATCAAAAAGCCTGCCATTTGATATAAATAAATAAATAAATATTCCCTAGTTAAGAGTTCAAAGCACTAAAAGCCACTTGATCACCTTTGCAGGCGTGAGGATTTCCAGGCGTGGCTGGTTGCCAAGGCGCATCCATATAACCAGGGGCGCAGCGTTCACAGTTGTCACCGGCTGTGTGATGAGCAGGATTGCAAACACACACCAATTTGGGATTCGGACCGTAACCACCAATTGGACGGCAGTCATTACCGTGACCGTTGCACATGCATCTAATGGGCAGAAAAGAAATATGATGATGAATTCACGCGAGAACTAACCACTCCGTAATCAACAACATGGCCAATCACAATGTAGGGCTTAATAGCATTTCGTTAT